ATAATTCTACAAGATTGTCTAAAATCGCAGCTTTTAACTTAAGCCATAAATAACTAAAGACGTATTCCAATTCACAAATTTCAAGTGCAACTTTGTGGCATTCTCTTGCTTCAGAGAATTCCCCTAAGTTGGAGAGAGCTATACCAATGCTGGATAGCGTTTCAGCTATGTTTCTTTTTCCAATTTCGTCGCGAGATTCTTGATAACAACTGAGCACCGTCAAGTCTGGGAAATCACAGGAATCCTTTTTGTCTTTGAAGACAGACCTTGCATTCTTCAAAATCAAGTCAAGTCTTTTCCTAACAAGATTAAAATTCACGATTTCTGATCCCACAAATAAGTTCTCCATTTCCTTTATAAAAAATGGAAGTTGTATTGACAAGGATAATTGGAAAAACACTTTCGCAATTTTAAACTTGCCATGAATAATACAAATGCTACCAATGGTGTTAAGGTCATTTATAAAAGTTTCTCCATGTTCGTTTAGATACGATTGACACTTGGATTGCTCTTGTACGATATACGATGGTAGAAATATTGAAAGGCGTTCGAAATGATTAAGAAAGCCTCTTGATTTTACAATATCTTTGATAGCGTTTTTATCAAAGATTTGCAGCAGATTTGAAAAAGTTGCTGTCACACTAAACATATCGGCGTTCTTGCCTTTCACTTGATCATGGTCCTGAAGACGACGATACACAACTTGATGCGTGAGGAGTTCGCCTCCATCATCAGAAGTCATCACCAAAGAAGATGAGGTAATAGTTGACGCCATCACTTCTTCATCTTCTTGAGGCAAGCATTTCATCACGTACTCCACCACATTTTTAATCGGGATAGGATCGTTAGCTAAGACAGACAGGAATTCAAACGCATGAAACAGGACCTTACTTCCACTAGTTTCTCGTTCCAATGCCATTTCTACCACCAGGGTCATCGACATCGGATTGTTTAGACTGCTTTCTTGAAACATTTTTTCAGTGGCTTCACGTTTTCCTTGATCTAATTCCTCAAGGAACTGTTTCCATGTAGTGGACGTGGCTTTCTTCATATAAACTCCGGCGCAAGCCAGTGCCAGTGGCTGAAGATCCAAACTCTTAGCGACTTCGAGCATCCTTTCGTCATCTTCCCTTATGGCTGATATGTTAGAAAGAACTTTAATGGCATCTCCTTCGCTCATTCCTCTTTTTAGAGAAACGTGGTGGGTGTGGATATTATCTTGAATACAATGTTCATCTTGGGTAGTGACAAGGATCTGACCGACTCCACTCGTCTTTTCGCCATATTTTGGGCAGTATATAGAGTATATTGTAAGATTCGTTACATTGTCTACGATCATTAACCAGGAGGCATACTTGTCTACCTGTTTGGCGGCAAGAGCTTTAATTTGTAGTATCTGCTTTCCTTGGGAAAGAACTTTCGACGTCGTAATTTTGATTATCGAATCTGGATAACAGTTTAACCTCGCTGCAAAGTCGACATAGGACTGGAGCAATGTGTCCATGTTCGTCGCATTGATGGTCATGACGAAAGCTGGTTGTTTAGTATCGTCAGAATCAAAGTATTGATCTCCAATCTGCCCTGCAAGCACACTCTTACCGCATCCTGGATTACCTGAGAGATAAACTGTCGTTGTTTCTCCCATCTTTCGATTGGACAGTTCTTTCATCTTCTTGGAAATATCTTGGACTTCGTGCTCTCTTGTGATCTGGTCATGGAAGGATTTTGGTGGTAAGACACAAAAAGGAATTGGTTCTGCATTTCGTTTCTTTTCGTCGTCCAACTCTTTCTTGATGGCATTAAATTCATTTGTTGGAAAGCTTGTTTGGTTTTTCAGTTCCAGCAACTCGGTCGTATCAAGCTTTAACTTTATGAATGCCGTCAGAATTTTCCGAACTGATGCTTGGAAATCTACATCAGCCAATCTTCCATTAGCGTTGTGGGCAACCTCATTCCGACTCTCACGTAAGATATCGACACTTTTCTTGACATTAGGGTGTAATCTTGGTCCAATGCTGTCCGAGAATAGAATGGCATACGATAAACAAGTACTGTCCCAGTTTGTTCGGTCACCATTGTTCATATTTCCCAGAAGTCGCTTGTTCTTTGTGCGATTCCTTGGAGACTCCATGCTTTGAAAGGACGCAAAATTGGCCGGCGTGTCCTTCCATTCTCCGTGTGTGCTTGTGTAGTGAGTATCCCATTGTTGCTTAAAAATCTCTCTCAGACCTTCTGGGATAACACTAGTGACAATTTTACACAGTCTGAAATAGTTGAGTTCTTTAACGCTATATTCCATTGGCTTCTCCCTGTAATTCATAGAGAAGAGACAATAGGCTATGAGGCAGTCCTTAAGGCCCGTTTACACTTGCAATTTCTGCAGCGGGATTGTCGCGCGACAATCGCCTAAGTTTCGAACATGCTTGAAATTTAGCTGCAACACGCGGCGACTTTTGATCGCCGCGACAATCGCAAGGTTGTTTACACGTACGATTTGAGGTGCGAGAGAACAAAGTGGCGATTGTCGCGCGACAATCGCGCTGCAAAAGTGTAAACGGACCTTTACAGAGGAAGACTGCTTTGTCGCCATTCAATCACAAAAAGACTTCATTGTGTCCTTTTTCGAAATTCTCAAAGGTTATAAAGCTTTGTCTTATACATGTGATTTCCAATAGAGTTGTACACTACTGTTATAGAACAAAGATTGTGATTTAATGAAATAGCATGTACATAGAGAGAGAGAGACGCAATACAAAACACGAAGACGTCCAGGAGAAAAATAGGCATTGTTTGTAGCGGTTAAGTAGAGTGGTTTTCAAAAAAAACCGTGAAACAAAGTGTAATAATTAGAGTGTAATAGACCGTAATAGTTGCGTAGAGGCAATAAAAAACAAAAGAGCCAAAGTGTAATAGCGATAAATACGCTAAAGTGTGTTTCCCGGATTAATGAAAACCACTCTAGTCGATTGATGTACTTCGTTTAGTTTTTGTAATTATCTACTTGCTTTTTTTGTTTCTTTGTTTCCGCGTCTTTGTTCGCAAGTCACGAGTAGTAACAATCCTACAATTCTTTGTTTTTGTTGTCTCGATCAATCACAAGCTTCCTTCTAACAGTAGTGGTCGACCTATCCAATAAAACGTTAGTGCCTATTCAAACATGTTCATATATTTCGCGGGATCATTCTAATGAGGACTCGAAGTTGTCAAAGGTCTTTTTCAGTCATTGATCATCGTATTGGCTAGTCCAGTCCCAGCCCCTTTTCGACCCGCTCGGTTAATTAACCAAGCGGGACGAAAAGGGGCTGGGACTGGACTAAGACTATGATATAATACAGTATGGAAATAATATCCTGTTCTTGCACCATACATGAAATACCATACTTCATGCTTTAAATGGTATCGAAATTTTGACTAAGCATCAGTCCACTTACAAGTTTCGTAAACTAATTATTAATTACATAATTCACTATCAGTTATTTATTTTGGATTACTGTATAGAATATTTTACCGTGTGTTGTTGGACTTGTTGGACGTGAACGTCGTTTGACATCATCTCCGACGCAATTCCAGTTGTGAAAAGCCAAGTCTCCATTGATAGTCTGTGAAAGCAATGGTGTTTTCATATATAAACGACTTGTATAGCCATCGTGTGAATCAGAATAAGCTAAACAAGCTGGAGAGACCATGTGACGGGAAAAAACGTTGTTTCTCCGGATGTGGCGCAGGCTATGTGAGCACAGCAAAAACTTTTTTGAGTCAAAATAGAATTCTAATTTTTTGCGATTGATTTCTGTAATGAAAGTCGGAAATGTTTTATCCCTATTCAGACTGGGCTTTTTTTTTCAATCTGTGACTGGGGGGGGCTCATTCGGCCCCCCCTCAATATCTTCGGAACCAATACGTCTATGAGCATGAAATTTTCACACAATGGTCGACCACGTAAAACGAACCACCACACCCAGTCTTGACCCGTGGGAATCAAATGTGACGTCATAATGACGTCATTTTAACCATTTTAACGATTTATAATTCATTTTAATAAATTGTCTACAATTCCATAGAGAATGCTGCAATATCATCTGTTTATTATTGAAATGACTTGAAAATAATATTTTTGTATTTTTTAATTGACCCTTGTTCTATATGACGTCACAATGACGTCATATATATCAGGTAATTTTTATAAATTATATATCTATATCTAGATAACCAGTTAAATATCATATTTAGGCGTTACTCCTCTCCTGTGATGTTGTGGTTCATTTTGTATCCATGGTAACAGYTGTGACGTCATAATTGTGATGACGTCATTTCCTATAGYGTCTTTKWCGTCTTTGAATAATTTGACTCCAAATCTCACTTTTTTTTGTCTACATCGACTTTTTATGGTAAAATTTACAATTTCAGAAGTTTTTGAAGTTAAACAATTTGGAACAAGCAATTTTGAGAAGAATATCCGCCATTTTAGGATCCGCCATCTTGGACCGCCATCTTGAATTTTCTAAAATGCCATTAAAAACTAAGCATTGAGGCAAACAGCTCAAAATGTCTGAAATACTTCTCAAACTAACATTTAATGAATAAAAAAAGTGAGTTTCGAAGTGTTACTGATGATTTTAATGAAATATTCTCCCACGTGAAAATTTGACAGAAAACTACCCACCCCTCCCCCCAAAAGTTTTTGTTGTCGAAAAAGTATTATGGTATTGTAGAGTCAGCAATGGGAGCAAGCTCAAATAGGTAAAAGATGCATAATAAAACAAGAAATAAGCTTTAAAAATGAAAAATTAAGCTTATTTTACATTTTTGAAAACCTATGTGTCAAAAACTGGTTGCCATGGTGACATGGATGACGTTATCAACAAAAAAATTATATCAAAATCTGCCCAGATAAATTTTAGGAAAAGTCCGAAAGTTTCAGAGCTCTAGCTGTCTTGGTTCGAAAGTTATTGGCTTTTTACGCGAGGGAGGGGCTCAAAAGGCCCCCCCCAGTCTGAATAGGGTTATCACAGTAATCACGACTTAGCCCTTATATTATTATATTGTTGAAGGTACGTTTAAAATTAGTAAAAGGCTAGCTCTGAGTTTTGTTAAAAATAGCACTCGATTGAAAATGTAATATATTGGCAAACTGATTCAGAAACAGAGCACAGCACAACACTGATCAAAACACAGACGTTCACAAGCAGTGAATTCTTTTTAAAACGTTCAATTAAAATGACAGAGTGATATTTGGCCTTTATAATTACATCAGGTTTGACGATGGTTTGAGTAAATTGAAGGCCGGAAATAATAGATATGCTCGATCGAACTAAAAACTGCAGAAAAATCACTGTCTCAAGTCTTTTTCGTGTGCGTCACATAAAAAAGGATAGGACTTTGGTCAGATCAGTGACCCATAAATGGAACCTCAAAGGCTTCACCATATGAATATATTAGATGATACAATATTATTTATACGCTTCGTAGCATTGATGGAACTTGAAAAATATTTGATATCATTGATAACATGTATTTTTTAGTGATAAACATTTTAAATAAGAGGAGCCCATTATATGGGTTTGTAATACCTAAAATCCGCCCACAAAACTGAGCGCATTTAATAAAACTGAATCCACGTTGCAAAATCGGCAAATCCGCAACAGAGCAATATCTTGACAAACGTAAACCACCAAAAAATGGCAGTAATACTGATAACAGACCTCTAAAATCAGCTAAACCGCTAAATAATAATGGAGCACCCATAAGAAGTAAGTTTGTAAGTTTTTGCATTTACTCGATATAATTATCAAAAAATAATCAACTGAGAATCAACCAGGCATGAAATGACCTAGTAAGCAGCTCTACACTGATGACCATTTTAAGTTAAATTTCGGTAAAAACTCAGTCGATCTTTTTCGTAAAACTGGACTTTCATTATTATCAACTAACATGAAGTTTTATGACTTTTCTTTTACAGTATGTAAAAAGGAGAACATTGATTTTGAAAGTGAATGCTTGCTTTTATCAATCTAGATCCTATGCTTTCTAACTAGTGCAACATATTTATTGTACATAAAGTGCTTATTATAGCAATTGTTACAAACGGCTTATTTCATAAAATGTATAGAGTCCAATATTTTTCATGTTTTAGTTCATATCGCTATGCAGGAATCACTTCATATAGACATCTAATCAAACTGCCACATAAATGACTTACTTTGTATTAATAATCTTTAATAGGAACAAGTAAGCTTTGATTAGACAGTGACGCTCATCGCGAAGTCAAAACCAGCGACCACTCATACACACTGTAAGACGTCTTATACTAATAAACTGGTGGGGATCGTCTGAAGAGCCTTGATAAATTCTGCAATTAAAACAACACACATCATTTATCATTTGAACTGACATTTGCCAAACCAAGTTTTATTATTTTGCTTTAATACTTACCCAGTGATGCTACATTTTGAGGTAAAACCAATGATCATATTCACACGGTTACATGATGCTTAGCGTTGGATCTTGAGGCTAGTCAGAAATAATCATACCATTAACTCATTTGTGCTGACAGACTTTTTTGACTAAACTTTCAGAATTCTCTCACCCTTTTACGTTACTTTGACGTGGTTCATCCCATTCACTTTAGCTGTTTTTATGCGACATGTAACTGAAAAAACATCAAAATGAACGATAAAATTGAAGCCTGAAACCCCAATACTCTCGAAATCTGCAAGTAAGCACATACCTCTTCTAGTTGAGTGCCGAACTGTGAAGGGTGTGAACAATGTCGTCTGATAAATATCATAATAGCCGTAATCCGGTTTGACCTGTTTATTTCATTCGTAGAATAGCCACATACCGGTTTGAAACCAGTTCATGGGAAGTAGGAATGACAAATAAACAAAAATAATAGAACATTTAATAACACTTAAACCCACCATGGTTCCAGAGGTTTCTTTGTGTTTCTCTCTTCTCTGTATAAAAATCGCTGCTTTGAATGCTCGATGAAGAGATATTTTTACACAGGAAATAGAGACACAGAAGCCTCTGGAACCAGGATAAAACAAACGCGCAATATCACGCGCATGACCTGATGCGCAAATATTGCAATACTACACTGATTGTAGTAGAATGAATCTGTAAAGTTTTCCTTTTCGGGCCTTTGGCTTACAAGATACATAATCAAAATGTATAAGAATTATAAAAATAATTAGAACTGTACTTTTTTTGAAGCATTTAATCCTCGCATTCTTTAGGCACAGCATAAACGAGAATGTCTACATTTGCATAGATGGGTG